CAACCAGACTGCTGTCGTAGGAGAAAAAATCAGTGTAGCCATTTGCACCCAAACTGACTCTGGGATCCCATAGATGGTGAAGTATTGTTCACAGAGATCTTTCCACAACAGTGGGTTCTCTCCATCGAACACAGGAAAAGGCATGGAAGGTGGACTGGGAGCATTTGAGGCAAAAAATGGTGCTAAATTCCCTGAACCCCCAGCCGGTGACAGAGTGTTGGTGACAGCAGGTAACTGAAGCCGGGAATTGACCGTACCGTTGGCCGGAGGGGCCGGCGGGCTGACAAGCACCGCGTCGACCGCCGTCCGTGGAGGTGATGCAGCGCCGAGGCCATCGGCCCGAGGAGGAAGACGCGCCGGGGATCCGTCCGAAGACGAATTGTTCTTCCGCGCCAACAGATCGGTGTGATCTGTTGCCGACGCCTCCTCTGCGTCGTTTCCCTTGTCGCCCGCGCGCTGCTTCTTGAGTAAGTCGACTTCCTCCTGCAGATCGGCGATCTGCGAGTCAATCCCAGGTCTCCATGACGCGAACTCGGCGGCGACGGAAGACTTGATGTCCTCCTTCCACTCCGCCCGCAGCTCCTTGAAGAACTCCTTGAGGTCGCCCTTGGTGACAGGCTCCTGGTCCTTCTGCATCCTTTCCGCTCGCTGCTGTCGTGTTTCGATGATGGACGCCTCCAGGGCGGAAGCAAAATTGGGCGCTGGGCTCTGAGTACCAAGTGTTAGCACGGCACTAGTATTACTCTCAGAATATGGTGGTGGTTCACAAGATCTGAAGATTACAAGCACCAAGGTGCCAAATTGGAGATGAGTGGAAAAGGAACTAGGGTTCTAAGGTAGTAGGTAGCCGCCGCCGTGCCGTGCCGTGCCTTGATCGATCTTCGATCCCCTCAGGGTTGCCAGCTTCTCCTTTTATCCCTCCTGTGTTGCGTTCACCCACTGGCTGCCACTCACTCTTGGGTTGGGTTTCTTGATCCTCTTGGCTGGGCCTTGGGCCGTCTCCTCGTCGGGCTCGGTAGTTGGTTGGGCTGATGGGCTGGTGCTGTCAGGGGTGCTAACAAGTGTATTCCTGAAGGATTTATTGACACGTGCAAGTGCAAGCAGGTGCCCAGCATTTTGCATCTTGGGTTTGTTGATTCCGAGTGTTGCTTTTACATGAGGACATTAGGTACATTTTGGTACTTGTACAGCTCTAATGCTCTGTTTGTGAGATTGTGCATCGTAGAGGCATGTTTGTCATGGAGGAAATATAGAGTTGGGTCCATCTGCAAATCAAGCTTGGTCTGCCTGCATATAAACTTCAAGGAACACTCTGTTATTTCTTAGTGTTGCATTGTGCTATTTGGACCAAGCTTGATACCATGTGAACCAAGTGTGGTTCCATTCCACCAGCAAAATGTATGTGGTCTGTGGTGTCATCTCTAAGAACCCGCCAAATCTTTTAATAGCATTGGCTTCCACTCCCACTTGTGGATGAGAACCCAGGGTAGAGTTGACCTTGTAGTTGTATGATACTCTTATCCCATTTGACCAGATGGAATCATTCTGAGGGCTCCCTACTATCCTTTTGAGGGCTTTGGGTGCCTCGAGGTAGACACGATCCATTTGTTGCTGGATGAGTCCCACTCCTTCCTTATTCCTGACAGTACGAAAGATGTCATTAGTACCATTTTCATATCTTATTATATGCAAGAATTTCGTTCTTTGCAAGTTGAATCATGCTTATTATGTGTACAGATCCAATTCAATAGCTTTTTTAGATGAGTTTGTTGAAATATATGTTCATAGTATAGATCTTTACATGTTTTTTATTTGTACTGCTGAAACAAATCTACGCATGTTGGTATGTCCTTTTTGCTTATTTTTTACTCACATTCTTGTAGAAAGAGTGAGGAATATATTACTCGCATCCTAAAATCCTAACAAATTTGGAGCACCCGGCCACCTAATGATTGTTTATTGTCTGATCTGTATGCCCTTTGTATGTTGAAATGAATTCTGTACTCTGTTAGATCCAGCGTTTTGATTATTTACTAGTTGATCAAAACGCACGAGTTTTTTGTTATCCTCAGATCTAGAAGTCTCATTTTTCTTGTACTCCTCCAATGGCACTGGAATATAAGAATAGTGGCTAGAAACCAATTTCTAAGCTGAATGAAGTTCAATTTCTTTTGTGCTGTTAATCATAAAAATCCTGATTTATGGCTTCAGGCTTGGTTAATCTGGTAGTATGCTGTTTGTATATCTTAACAGATGTATTGTTGGTTACTTGTGTATGTTTAGGGTAAAGTTCAGTAGCACTTATGTTCATTTTACAGTTACAATACATCATGTATGTCTTTTGATGGCCTATGGGTTGATCTACACTCCAAAGGTGTGAACTAAAGATGGAGATATTTTTTAAGAGTTGGGCATGCCTTAGGCGGATCTGGGCAAAACCTTTTAAGTTAGTGTATTGTTAAAATCAGTGTTTAATCTTTATATTGTGCTCACCTATAGCTAATTGACAAACAACGTCACATGTGTTCTGTATGGTATGGTCGGCCTGTACTCAGCTTCCTGAATAGATACGCTCAAACTAGCAGCAACCTGATGAATTCTACTGTCCCAATGCACCTAAACATATTTGTATTTGTCATTCAATGGCAGGTAACATGCTTTGCCGAAGCAGGTGGGCAGTATGTTTCAGAAATGGCACGGGCGGTGGAATTGCTGGGATTGCGTGCATGCTTGACAAAGTCAACAATGGACTGTGGTGATGGGTTACCTCCAAACTGGAGTTCTTGTTCTACCGACGACTGCATTCAGGTTTTCCCTCAAATCGGGATCAGGATCACTTTCTTAAACACTGTCACATGATGCAGTTCTTTTACTTGAACTCAATTTGTATCCTAGACTCGAGCCTTTCCATGGAACACATAACACCTTCTGTTCTCTTCCCCCAATTTGAAATAGTGCCATTCATATCTTTAGTGACTGCCATTGACAGCTCTAAACCGGTCTTCAGGGCCTAATGCCATACATAAAGGGCTTGTTTTCACTTCATCATTCTAGGGATGTGCATGTGCAACATGTAATTCAATAGCAGCATGAGCTCAGTCATGGAAGTAGCAGCCACTTCAGGGGGGCCTGCAGCTAGCTGGCATGTCAGCTGGCCCATGCGCAGGGAAGCGCTGAAGCTGAACATGTTGACCAGATCCAGCATCTGATGTGTTTATCGAGTTGTTAAGTGTGTCTCGCCTATTAGTTAGCATTATTTTGCCAGGCCAGCCCTATTTGTGGCACAGCTGATGCATATGTTGTAAGCAGAAATCAGTTAAGCATATTCCATCGTATCGATATCTGCATATTTAAGAACAGAGTTACTCTAAGAACATGTGGTACGTTAGATACTACTATGTTTATTGCTGAAGTTCGACAAGCGCTGGTACCCAATGTAAAATCCGTGGACATGAGAAGTCTGCACGGAACAAACAATTCCTAAATTTGGAAAATCTGAGAAGGTATGATTCAAGTAGGCTACAGGGTATGGCAAAATTTGCAAGTACAATTGGAAGTAGAGAAGGAATAATAAGGTTACCAAAAATTGTTGCTTTTTCCATCATCCGTTGCTCATTTTTTCCTTGTTTTTCCTGTGCAACAGCTATTTGGGATTTACTGTACCTAAATAAGGTTAATTCTTATTTGATTGGTTTATGTCTGCACAAGTTAAGATCCATCTAAGTCCAAATACACATGTGTTTATTCTCGACATACTTGACTGTTATGTGATGTGAATGACTTTTCTTTCACGCAGTCACAGAAGGATCTATATGAAAAGCATCATAACACAGCTGATGGGCGAATCAGGATATGGTTTGGGTTGAGACAGATCATGAATGCGACAGATCGGTTACTGCTTGAAACAAGGGATGCTGCACAGGAACTGAATACTGGAATCCATATGGTATTAAAGTAGTTTATTTGTGCCGCAAAGTTTACCTTCTCTTTCTCCCCCCTCTCCCTTGCCCCTTCTGTGCACAAGCCGCAGGTCCTTATTATCTTCACAGGGATTACAATAGGATAGAATAATTTAAGCAAGAAAATCAGGCATTTTATCAAAGCAAAAAAAAAGTCACTCACAAATGCATGCTTCTCTCCTTATAAATTGGAGCTTGGAACCATGGAACGACGAAATGTTTTATCTCGTTTCGGATATTGTTGTATCATTTAATTAATTTATTGAAATAAAACCTGGATGCTATATTTAATGATGCTTGGAGGACTGCCTGGAGTTGTTTTTGCGTTGTGCATTTCTATGATTTGGGCTCCTAGAGAATTATCTTGCTAATTTAACTGAAATTCGTTCCAATGTGAGGAGCCGAACACAAAATGATTATACTATTTTACTATTCCAGTAGAAGTTTTTGCTCAGCTAACTGCTATACATTGCTTATGCTTTGCTTTTTATTATTTTTGCAGCATATTGCGGAAATACCATATGAAAATCAGCTTGTAATGCGGATGAAGAAAATTGATCATGGGACAGTTACATATTTAGAGAAAATTGATTTTCTGAGGAGTAATTTGCTGGCTGCCCATTCTGTTTGGTTGAATGAGTCTGAGGTAAGTAAGCTTTTCCACAATCGAATGTTACCTTTCACGTTATGTACCCTGGTTGTGCTCTGAGAATGTATGGTAATTATGGAATACCATAACTTTAAATCTAGGTTAAACTGTATGGCTTTTAATTGTACAAAGGCTGCCTCAGTGTACATCCAATTATGCCAGCAGTCATCACTGTACATAATCAGCATATAACCTGTTGCAGCAGCTATATGCTTCTTTTTTCTATATGTTAATTTCTCTGTCTAAATTCTTTACTATGCACTGTCTACCTTCTGATATGCTTTGTGGTACTGGAATGCAAAATATAACTTTGGCAAACTTTTCATTTGAGTTTCTCACTTGCAGATAAGTCATTTTTCAAACGCTGGTGTCAAGGTTTCTCATTGCCCAGCATCTGCCATGAGAATGTTGGGGTTTGCTCCTATTAGGGAAATGCTGGATTCTGGTGTTTGTGTCTCTCTCGGTACCGATGGAGCACCAAGCAATAACAGAATGAGCATTGGTCTGCTTAATAAACTATAATCACAGATGTTTTTACGAGTGTGTTTAGCTTTGCTCTTAGTTTTCTTCACCTATGTTGTTTGGCACCCAGCAGTAGCGAGGATTCTGTCAGAGTTTTGCATCTAATATTTTATATTAAATGCACTCCGTAGTGATCCTAGGGCATATCCATTTGTTCTGTAAAGAAATAGGTGTGCCATATTTTTCTGTTATTATGTTCCTTGTCCAGTATCTATTGAATATGCATGGTTTTGATGATAGTTTTACAGATTCGATGCCTATTGTGGCTCACTCTATAATTTACAAGATTACCTTGTGCTGTACAGTTGATGAGATGTACCTAGCCTCCCTTATTAACAAAGGGCGTGAGGCCTATATCAGTGGTACAACAAACCCAACCGTGTTTCCTTCTGAGACTCTGCTGACGATGGCTACTATTAATGGTGCAAAAGCGGTTCTGTGGGATAATGAAATAGGCTCTCTGGAGGTTGGCAAAAAGGTGCTGCCGTTAGCTGCTAATTTTGTCATATGTGGTGCTTGAAAATACTGGTTTATGTATTCTTTTGAAACTGGATTTATGCCTACAGTTCAATCATCTTAAATGAAAACCCATTATATTCTGTGCGGACATTCCAGATTATGATTTCCTAGTATAATCAAATGGTCTGGATCTATTGATTTCTTATTTATTTTAACTAATATCAATATCTTGTTGACGCTTGAGGTTTTTTGTTGGTTTTGCAGGCGGACCTGATTGTGGTGAATCCATTTAAGTGGTCCATGCTTCCGTTACATGACAGGTATGCACCACTGCTATTTTTCTAAGAGCAAATTACTGCATTTTTGTATTGAGTTCCCACTGAGTTTTGTTTCAACTCATTAACCAAGTATCCTTTGCATGCAATCCCTGTCTTGAAGGTTGCAATAGCCATTGTTCATATTCATTAATAACGCATTGTTTATTCTTACTGTTTACATACAGGACTCTCATAATACATGTAGCTTCGTTACTACTCCCTCCGTTCCTAAATATTTGTCTTTCTAGAGATTTTAACAAGTGACTACATACGGAGCAAAATGAGTGAATCTACATTCTAAAATATGTCTATATACATCCGTATGTGGTAGTCCATTTGAAATCTCTAAAAAGACAAATATTTAGGAACGGAGGGAGTAAATTATATTTCTAGCTCTGTAGCCTGCCTACAATGCAATACGTAAAGCTATTGAGCTTCAGCTCCCTATTATCGCACGAAAACAGAAGTACTACACATACTCAACATTACAATTTATTTTAAATAATATTTGACAATAAGAATGGAATTAAAATCATGGTATTAACTTTTTTCTGCTATGCAGCATTGCCAACATTGTTTATTGCATGCGGTCAGAAAATATCGAATCTGTTATGTGCAATGGCCAATGGATTATGAAGGATCAGAAGATTATGAATGTAAATGAGGTAATTTTCTCCTTTTCTTTGCCTAATTAATATTGAGATGAAGGAAAAGAAGTACCTAGGTTGTTTCACTTTGCCAAAAGGCTAGGAAAGTTGTGCAAAGCTGCAGTTTCATTCCACATTTTCTCTGTAGATGCGACTCAGTTTGAAAGTATACTTTATTTTCCTGGAATGGTACTCTGCATCTCCTTGCATACTTGTATTAACACACTGTGGTTTAGTTATTAATGCAATGGAGCAAGAGGCCCGTTTCATTAAAAAAATCCAGTTAAAAAAACTCGCCGACATAATTAGCTGAGGAGATTCGACAATCGATGTTGTGCTTGCTCCTCAGCATATCACCAAGTAGTCGGACTAGAAAAGAGCAACATTGGAATATTCATGCTCTGGAATAACTGCAAATTTGTAATGGTTGTGAAAATGGAAGTGGTAACCACTTTCATCGCTAAAGATCATATGCTTTGCTCAAGCAATGTTTGAATCCCATAATAATAGCTAAGATACATCATTGATGGTGCTTCCGCTGTTTCTAATATATCTTTCTGTGGTCTAGGAGGAGGTAATTTCTTCAGCAGTAAAGAGAGCAACTGCCCTCCTAGCGCGAGCTGGCATCAATCTCCCTGAAAGGATGAACTACTTGTGATTTTATCATGCTAGTTCTTCTCCCCGAAACTTTCGGTCCAATGATCAAGCTGAATATGGAGCTCATGCATAACCTTTCGTGGGGTTATTCAATGCTTGTTCTTCTCCCGGAAACTGCTATTTTTGCACTTTTAAGCGAGGTTAATTGCTCGTTTGAGAAGGAATAAGTCGACGATTAATTTGGGTGGAGGACTAGCATGCATAATCTTCAATCCAATGATAAAACTGAAGATGGAGCTCAATCTTCAAGTGAAGAATCTCAAGCTCCATTGTAGGACCCTCAAGTCCAAGGTGGAACTCAAGCTCCAAGTGAAGAAAACAAGTTCCATGTAATATCAAGATTCTGATCAAGCTCCGCCGCTGCCCCCCAATAGTTCATACTAGCGGCCTCGGTGCCATTGTTTGCTTAGTTGTGACTTGTCCGGTTGCTGCTTTTGTTCGAAAAATTAAGGTGACTTTGTGGTTCAGGTCCGTGTCGAGATTTAGTATAAAAATCCTGATAGTATCTGGGCATATTAACAACTCAACATGAAGCATGCATGATCCCAGTCTGCATGTTCTGAACGTATTGGTATCAATGCATATTAGTATTAGCAGGCTCTCATAAATAATATAGGAGATTTTTTTATTTTTAAAAAAGGAGGATGACCCGGCCTCTGCATTCGGGCGATGCATGCAGCCATAAATAGTATAGGAGATGGATGACGAAAACAGTAATTGAAACGCACAAAGAAATAATCAGCTTTATATTGAAGAAAACGATCATCACTTGCACATGCTGTCACTACTTAATCTCTTGTCATACTGATAACTTCCACTGAATCAGAAACTTGTTCTCATATCTAATCGGCGAAGTTGTTTGTCATAGTAAATGTGAAAAAGCAAAGCTTGTGCTTCCGAAGAGGTAGCCACTTATCTAAGGTCTGAACAACCCAATGCATCTAAACACAGCACACGAATTGTGCTAGCAATTTTAAATTCCTTACAAATGAGGGAAAGTGAACCCTGGCAATGAACATTTACCTCATGTCTCATTTTACCTCATGGCCTTTGTTCCGTTATCAAACGGAACCCGGGCGAATATCGATTTTTGTACGACATAATCCTTTGAAAGACCGATGCAATTGTTCTATGCATTGACACCATTATCCTTCAAGAAACTAGATGATTCATTGCCCCATAGGTACCCTAGGAGCTAGCCGAGCGTGAGGTAACCGAATCCGTGAAGGACGTGAGTGGCAACGTCGTCCAACCCTTGGGAATCACACAACAAGCACGATAAGGAACTGCCATCTTGCTATAAGTGGAAGAAGATGGAGGAGGCATCCTCCTCGACATGCCATCTGTTGTTGAGCTAGATGCCCACCTCAGTGATGAGCCCTCCCTCCGAGTTGCGGCAGAGAGTGAAGGGACGTCATCCTCGTGCTCAAGCCTAATGATGAGGTGCACCACCAAGAAATCCAAGTCATTGTGTCTGTTCCCCTCGTGGCAGTGCTCCAACAAGAAGCCGGGGCCGAAAGCTGTAGGAAGCAGGAATAGTCTTAGCCGACATGGGAACGACTAAAGTGGATGGCGGTGGGCCGTGCCACCCACGCCCGGTCTTCGCCATTGTGCATGTTGCCCGTCATCGAAGTTGGCTTCGGGGCCTCTTCACTAGGAGCTCTAGCTCCTCAAGCTGGAGGAGCAACGGTGGAGGAAGAGGAAGAAGGAGAGACCTAGGGGGAGCACGCCACGTTGCCATTGTTTTCTATTGCTCTTGTGTGAGAAGAAGACCAAAGTAAAACACAAGTAAACGAGCTAGGGTTATATCTAAGACTCCGGCTCGTTACCCAGATACTCTAGGTGGAACCCAAGTGCAACCAGAGAAACAGATGGATACTCTAGCTCTGACCCGAGAGGGGTCATATAGTAAAACCCGGACGCTCCGGCTACAAAAACAACACGCTCCATAACCACAATTAGCTAGCCAGAGACTCCTGCTGAAATAGCTTGAAGACTCTGGTTGACTCAGAGCGACTCTTTTGCTGAGGCTTGGGATTTGGTTAGGCCTTTTGGCTTTTAGACTTAGGGCACAGGAAATGAGTATAATGATCAATGACATGAGATTTTCTTTGCCTCCTGATACGTCCATTTTGCATCATGCTTTTATATCGATATTTATTGCATTATGGGCTGTTATTACACATTATGTCACAATACTTATGCCTATTCTCTCTTATTTTACAAGGTTTACATAAAGAGGGAGAATGCCGGCAGCTGAGATTCTGGGCTGGAAAAGGAGCAAATATTAGAGACCTATTCTGCACAGCTCCAAAAGTCCTGAAACTTCACGGAAGACGTTTTCAAAATATATAAAAAATACTGAGCGCAAGAAGTTCACCAGGGGGGGCACACCCTGCCCACGAGGTTGGGGGCACGCCCTACCCCCCTGGGCGCGCCCCCAACCTCGTGGGCCCCCTGGTGGCCCTCCGATGGCCATCTTCTGCTATATTGAGTCTTTCGATGAGAAAAAAAATCATAAGCCATCTTCTCGGATGAAACTCTGCCGCCACGAGGCGAAACCTTGGCGGATCCAATCTAGGGCTCCGGCAGAGCTATTCTGTCGGGGAAACTTCCCTCCGGGAGGGGGAAATCATCGCCATCGTCATCACCAACGCTCCTCTCATCGGGAGAGGGCAATCTCCATCAACATCTTCACCAGCACCATCTCCTCTCAAAACCCTAGTTCATCTCTTGTATCCAATTCTTGTCTCCAAGTCCGGGATTGGTACTAGTAGGTTGCTAGTAGTGTTAATTACTCCTTGTAGTTGATGCTAGTTGGTTTATTTGGTGGAAGATCATATGTTCAGATCCTATATGCATATTAATACCCCTCTGATTATGAACATGATTATGCTTTGTGAGTAGTTACGTTTGTTCCTGAGGACATGGGAGAAGTCTTGCTATTAGTAGTCATGTGAATTTGGTATTCGTTCGATATTTTGATGAGATGTATGTTGTCTCTCCTCTAGTGGTGTTATGTGAACGTCGACTACATGACACTTCACCATTATTTGGGCCTAAAGGAAGGCATTGGAAAGTAATAAGTAGATGATGGGTTGCTAGAGTGACAGAAGCTTAAACCCTAGTTTATGCGTTGCTTCATAAGGGGCTGATTTGGATCCATATGTTTCATGCTATGGTTAGGTTTACCTTAATACTTTTGTTGTAGTTGCGGATGCTTGCAATAGAGGTTAATCATAAGTGGGATGCTTGTCCAAGTAAGGACAGTACCCAAGCACCTGTCCACCCACCTACCAAATTATCAAAGTACCAAACACGGATCATATGAACGCGATGAAAACTAGCTTGACGATATTCCCATGTGTCCTCGGGAGCGCTTTTCTCTATATAAGAGTTTGTCTAGGCTTGTCCTTTGCTACAAAAAGGATTGGGCCACCTTGCTGCACTTTATTTACTTTTGTTACTTGTTGCTTGTTACAAATTATCCTATCACAAAACTATCTGTTACCACTTATTTTAGTACTTGCAGAGAATACCTTACTGGAAACCGCTTATCATTTCCTTATGCTCCTCGTTGGGTTCGACACTCTTACTTATCAAAAGGACTACGATAGATCCCCTACACTTGTGGGTCATCAACACTCTTTTCTAGCGCCGTTGCCAGGGAGTGAAGCACCTTTGGTAGGCGGAATTTGGTAAGGAAAATTTATATAGTGTGCTGAAATTTACCGTCACTTGTTACTATGGAAAGTAATCCTCTAAGGGGCTTGTTCGGGGTATCTTCACCCCGACCAGTAGAACAAAGAGTTGCTCCTCAACCTACTGAACCTACTGAAAATGAAAATGTCTGCTTTGAAATTCCTTTCGGTATGTTAGAAAAACTGCTAGCTAATCCTTTTGCAGGAGATGGAACAAAGCATCTTGATGAGCACCTAATATATGTGGATGAAGTTTGTGGATTATTTAAGCTTGCAGGTGTACCCGGAGATGTTATTAAAAAGAAGGTCTTCCCTTTATCTTTGAAGGAAGATGCATTGACATGGTATAGGCTATGTGATGATACGGGGTCATGGAACTACAAACGATTGAAATTGGAATTTCATCAGAAGTTTTATC